GGGTCCATAGGAATGAGACTGGAGGAGCATGGAAGAAACTCCAACCAGGGGTATCATAGCCGACTGGCAATGAGATCCACAAAAACACGTATAAATTCAACAGAAAAAAAGGACCTGTGACCCTCAACTGAATCCTATTCTAAGAAGTTCAAGAACAGCAAACAGCATGAGGACAGGTAGAAAAGGATCGACCAATATCGACAATTCACCTAGTAAGGGTACAGGTATTATCACACTAGACTACCTGGGTCAACATAAACACGCTTCACGCAATTTCCCTAACCCAGGTACAGGTATTAGCACACCAAACTACCTGAGCCAACATAAAAACGCTTTATGCAGTCGTAATACCCAGTCATCAGAGATTTACTCAGGATTTCTGAACCTCTGAAGAAGCTAGTCACTCCCGTCACGTCAGAAAGGCATTTCAAAAATCTAAGGCTTTCAAACCTGAAAATAATAACACTGAAAACCTTAGCCATGAAAGTTTCAACCATTTTGTCACAGACATAAATTTGATACATACTTTGCAGTTGAAGTCTTAAAACGCGAAGAGTGGAAACACCTGGTATATGGAACGAAATCTGGCAATAACTGTGTTGGGCAATACTCATTCTCTCGCTCATTACATGCACAAGGAACATTGATTCGGGGTCTCAACGGAATGAGAAGGTCAATGTTTTCACAGACAGCCAGGGCTGCATTTAGGGCAATGATGGACCCAAAAATGTAGTCGGGACTGGTAGGCGAATGCCGTGAAGGAATGAAGAACCTGGCGGTCGGAAGTTGATTGACCCCAAACTGGTCACCAGGATTCCTGAGCTTGAGTGCTTCCTGATACAGATCATGAACCCATATACTGGCCTTAAGCCAGCTGTCGGGGTTAGGTTAGGTTAGAGTACAGTGTATTCGAGAGCAACAAAGCCATGAAACTGAAGGAGGAGGCGGCTCAGATGGTTACACACACCATAAAGCCATAGGGTCACAGATAGAATCGGAAAACTATTGGGGAAACACAACATGAAAACGGGTTTCAAACCTACCAAGAAGATACAACTGAGCCTCAGGTCGGCTGAAGATAAAAGAGACCTACTATCAGCCCTTATGGAAAGGTATACATCGCAACTACCAAAGGGTCCTTGGGAACAAGACTGGAGGAGCATGGAAGAAGCTCCAAACAGGGATATCATAGCCGACTGATGCGGGAGGCAATAGAAATCCACAAAAACACGTATAAATTCAATAGAAAAGAAGGACCTGTAGGTAGAAAAGGATCGACCAATGTCGACAATTCACCTAGTAAGGGTACAGGTATTATCACACTAGACTACCTGAGTGAACATAAACACGCTTCACGCAATTTTCCTAACCGAGGTACAGGTATTAGCTCACCAAACTACCTGAGCCAACATAAAAACGCTTTATGCAGAAAGACAAATCGTCTAAGAAAAAAAAAACTGCTTCAACAAAGCGGAGATCTGCTTGGGAGGATTATGAGGCTACTTTCTGGAAGAATAATCATTAGCCTACTTTCTGGTAACTATTAATTGTGAGGATACCTGTACAAAACGAGGGCAGCTCAACTGCAGGCAATGTAGGGGAAGAGGCAGCTTTTTATATTTTGTGTGAATGCGAGGTACTGGATCACACCTAAACAATTGATGAATAACACAAATTATCTTCTGCAAAACATGACAAACATCCAATAGAGGACCTGTACAAACCAGGGCAAGACGACAGTTGGAATTAGTGTAATTTTCCAGAGTTTCCGGAGAAATTGACAAGTCAGGCGGCTCTCAAGTAGCAGTAAAACAGTTTGGAACTGACTCCGAGACCTATGCTCAAGATTCAGCTGGAAAAGGTTTGGAAATGGTCTGGTAAATGTGTTCGTCTAGCAGATTTCTAGTGCCAAAATTATTTGATTCAATGTTGTTATTAGTAATGAGGCAATCAGTGTTGTTAGGGTTAGATGTTTACTGGAGCTGAATTGTTCATAGTTTTGTTACATTGCAATTCAAATTTTCTGGAAATCCAATGATTTGCTGATAGTTTTTTGACAGCTTTCTATCAACTTCTCTGATCTTTCATGAGAATTTGTTGAATTGTTGCAGAGTGAACCTTATTGGAGAACATGTGGATTACTGCGGATACTCGGTATGTCCAATGGCTTTGGAACAAGATATACTTTTAGCCGTGTCCATCGAAGATGATAAAATGCTGCACCTACAGAATTTGGATATGAA